ACACTGAGATGGCAACTGAGATAGGGCATGGTGGCGCACCCCTGTAATCCCAGCACTTGGATGACTGAAAACAGGAGGATTACTATGAGTCCGATCTGTGTAATGAGATCCTGTAGACCCTGTACTAAATACATAAAAATAAATAAATAAATTATTGTGGATTTTTCACTGTATCGCAGGATTTTGCTGTAGTGTACAGTACTGTATCTCCATTTATATACATATTTATTGTTTTAATGATTTTTGCCTAAAAAATAAAAATATATTTTAAATGTTAATTCTAACATATTAAAAGAACATTAAATCAAAACAAAATACACTGCTTACAGTATATATTTCTTTAGCAGATGAATATGTACTATACTGTACAGTATATATATATATTGTTAAAATTACATAGGTTTATGAGTTTATAAAATGGTTAAGAACATTAGAAGTGGCTTTTTTTTTTAAGTTTTTTTTTTTTTTTTTTTTTTTTTTAATTGTGGAACCAGGGATTGAACTCAGGCCATTGCACTTGCCAGCAAGTGCTTATTCTACTGAGCCATCTCCCCAGCCCCAGAAGTGTTTTTAGAAGTGTGGGAAAGGTTTATAGAGTGTGAGAAGGTTTATAGAGGGTTTATAAAGCCTTAAAACATATATAAATACTAAAATAAATATAACTTCTATACTTTGCTGATTTCCATTTCTCACAGGGGTGTCTGGAACATAACCTGTGAAAAGTGAGGGACCACTGTACATACAACTCTTAACATAAACTTCGGACTGTAGTTAATAATAATGTATTATGATAGGGTCTTTAACTGTAATAAATATGTTATGCTGGTACAAAACATGAGTAAGGGAGAAAACTTATGGAGTAAGGAGTGTGGGAGAATGCTACTGTCTGGTCAGTTCTGTTCTGAAAGAAGCCTACTGTTTTTTTAAAAGTTAAAAAAAAAAAAGTTTAGTGAGCCCATTTTTAAAAAATGAATAGGCAAGTAATAGGCTTGGAGGAAATTGTATATTGATTTTAAATATATGTTTTAAAATGAAATATATGTACATAAGTACAAAATAAATTTTATACATTCTATAAAACATTTCCCAGTTTTTGACAGGATTCTAACCACTTACTTCTTTGCATCTAATCTTATCCAGTCTCTTATTAATGTTTTGTTCCTAGTTTCTTGGTTGTTCTGGATAGCAGGAAGTCAGATTCAACAAATCCAGCAACAAACCAAATGTCATGGCTAATTGCCATTTAGAAGAAACTAATACTCAAATCTAATAATTCAGATCTACTAACTTCTCCCAGGTTCCACAGCAAGTGAAACACAGATATATGATTTCATCAAGACATTTGGATACTACTATTCCTTTTTGCATTTGGAAAAGTTATCAGTCATAAGAATTAGAGTAGGGCTGGGGAGATGGCTCAGTGGAATAAGTGCTTCCCTGGCAAGCGCAAGGGCCTGAGTTCAATCCCCAGTTCTGGAGGTTAAAAAAAAAAAAAAAATTAGAGTAATAATGGTATTTATCATCATCATCAATTATAACATTTATTGAGCACCTACTTCTGTGTGCTCATGAAAACCTCCCTACATTCCTATGAAGCATCTCAATAGTTTCAGAGTAGGGGGCTCGATAAATATCATTGATTTATTGATGAGCAGAGATAAATGAAACCTTTCACTGTACTACTATCTTTACTTAGAGAAGGAAACATTAAGGGTTAAATGTTTACCAAGGAAGATCTCAAATCAAAATGAATTTTGACTTTCTCAAAAGTAGATATAAATACAATTCTAAGATAAAATTCAGAAGAAAATTAAGCCAACCACAATGGTGCATGCCTATAATCTGAGCCATTCAAGGGGCTAAAGCTGGACAACTGCAAATTTGAACCCAGTGTGGGCAACATAGAGACGCTCAGTGTCAAAATTTAACAAATAAAATAAAAAGGAGTCTCCCATGGTGGCACTCCTATGTAACTCCAGGGATCACTCTTTAGTACTACCAGAAAATTCTAACAATAGCTCTAACCTGATTTTTTTTTAAATTTAATTTAATTTTTTTTATTATTTTTTGACAACT